TGTGTGTAAAATGCTTTTGCGGGTATAATGAGCGTAAATCAGATTGTTATAAAAAAAGTAACTTTTGTAATTAAAGTAATTCTTTTATTAAAGGCTAATATAAAAATGGATCTGCCTTGTAATGAGTGACTATAAAGTGAGATGAATATTCTCGAAGAAGGAACTTCTTTCTATTGGGCTTAAACGAAGAATCGCGGAGCTGATAAAGAAATAATTTTGCCGTCACTTTTTATTGTTTCAAAGAGGCTCACAAAGAGAGTTTCGCTTGAATGGTTCTAATTCTCTAACTGAAATTTATTTTCCATCTTAAAAATGTGGGCGTCCTTTGTCTAGGCGTCATGAGCTAATCTATTTTTAGACGAGAAAACCGCCTAGTTCTGAGACAGATTAAATTTGTAGGTGTGAAAAGGAATGAAAATCAATCGAATGCAGATGCTAAATTCAGCGATGCTACAAATCGAGGAGTCCTTACTATGCACTTAAATACCTATAGACAAACACAATGTCAAACTTACAGGCCACAAAATTTAACAGAAGGCATTAGCGTCGACTCACCATTCTTAGGCGGCGTGACACCCAGAGTATTTCTTTAGTTGCGACCTTGCAGAAATCGATAAAAAAATATGGCACTCAACGAAAATCGAGCGCAGTCTCCTATTCACCATCACAATACGGTGAGAGGCAGAAAATATTTTCGTAATTTGGTTAACACTGAAATAACTTTATAAACTGTGTGACGGTCAAAATAAATCGAACACAGAACTGTACTCATTCCTCGCGAGACGACCCCATTACTGCGCGGTAGTTGCTTCTTTATATTTCGATAACCAAGAATAAACGTGCATTATGTCCAAAATGTTAGGCAAAATGTCGACTTCGTCATTTCACTGAGGACACGTCTTTAAAGAGCTCTGTCTCACATCCAACTTACCTTAATTGCCTTCTCATTTCAGATAAATAATGTCGGACATGAGGTAACTCAGAAAATGAAAAGGTGCGAAGTAATTGTTAGCTTTAAAAATGCAGCATAATAAGACAGAATAACTGGCTTCCTGTTGACCGATCTTTGGTTATTAAAAATTGAAATGAAGTGGAAGCTTTTACCGAGAATCCAATTAATAGCAACTACAAGGCGATGGAACCACTAAGGTGCAACGGGTTATTAAATGAGAAAGAATATAGCAAAAATTAAAAAGACATGGAAACAGTTACCAGTAATACAAGAGCAGAGAACGCATGCAAAACGGATGCTAAACGTTCCTTTTCATGCTGGCTTAAAAAAAAAATAATTTCGCGCCAACAAGGCAATAGAGCTACTAAGATGCTAGTAACGTTTTACTAAATGTGAAAGGATATAACAAAGACCAGATTGAACTGGAAAATTTTGACGGGCAGCCAATAGTAGCGAGTACATGTAAAACACGTGATAAGTCTCTTTTTTATACCATTTTTTAAAAAATAATTTCCCCTAAAAAGGCCCATTAAAATTCAAAGGGGTTACTAAATGTGAAAAGATTTAACAGAAATTGTTGACAAAAACTCAAAAGCATCAGCCCCACACAAAACGCATGCTAAAGATCTTTTTCTTCCGTTATTTTTTTAATTTCAAACCAAAAAGGCAATAAAGCCACTAAGACGCAAAGCGGTTATTAAATGTGATAGAATATGATAAATAAGGAAAACATTATTAAGGAGAGAGGACAATAGCAGAAGAGGGATTGATATTTTATATGAATTTTACAATATCAATGAATATAATTCCACAAGTGGGAACTCCAAGGGAAGCTTCCCAATCTTGACATTAAAGTCTTGATGGACTTCAAAAGCGTTTCCGACTCCTTGTTAGAGAAGAATAATTTTCCACCCTCTAACCTCTCTCTCATAAGCGGGTTGAGGCGTGTCTCTCACTGTTCTGTCGCTATTTCCATGGAAAGTGCTCGGACGAACTACATTGCTTGGTTCCGCCGAGTCTAACCTTCGCAGCTAGGACCCGCTATTCCATTTCCACTGTAGCAAACCACCGGCGTACCTCTTCTCTCTGCCTACAACTCCCAAGGGGATATTCCTCCAATCACTACAATAATCTGGTCAAAAATAGAATTAACCGTTATTTTCCCCTCCTATAATAACTACCCTTTACCGTAATTCTCTACCGCGAGTGGCCCCTGAACCTTTTATTGGGTGAATCTTACTTTAAAAAAAGAAACTGTAGCATAGAACTTACGGTTACATCTAGCATTTCAGCTGTACAAATATGAGACCTATCTGCCAATCGAGCAGTGCGCTTAAATTCGTAAAGTCAAGGTAGTAAAGGCAAATTCTCATTAGAATTATCGCGAAAAAAAACGTGGATTCATTTTATATTTCTTCAATGTTTGTAAATAAGCATTTGTGTTTTTGTCATTTTTCCTCTCCTTAAGATCATAAAATCTTTTTCTTTTTTTTACCTAGGTATATGTTTCTTTTTAGCTTCTTATGTATTATTGCTTTCCATGTGTGAGGCCGTTACATGGGCGATTGATACGATTGACGTTTAATATTCTGTTCAGTGAATGATATAATCTCCACGCCCGGAGAAACAATAACAATCCAAGTGAGAGAAACATAGTAGACTAAAAGAAAGAATATATATCCGAAAATGTGGCTGATGAAGGTAATAAATGTAACTTTTAATGTAACTTCTCGACATTTGAAGGAAGGAAAGGCACTCAATGAATCTGAATATTAAAGCAAGCATCTGTAATTTTTTTTTGTACTGATGCGGCATTCACCCTGGACGGATTGAGCCGGCTTCTTCCTGTTGTGAGAAGAAGATTCTTGGAATAAATTACAGAAGTAGGGTATCTGTAATGAAGAAGGACCTTTACTTACAAATGACAATGTCAATGTCAATGGATTGCAGTATACAAGATGTCCATAAAGTCACTTTACAATTTGAAAAAAATATATAACAAAGGTAACTAATGAGATATCTTAATCAGATTTGTTCAGTGTACTAAGTCGATAACAAAGTTTTTGATCAAATTACATTTGTGTATTTCAGGTATCCTGTTGACAGAAGAGATGCTGTTAAATGAACCCCTGACGTTTCCAGACCGTTGGTTTGAAAGTGATAGCTCAATTCCTTGGCCAGCCCGTTCGCCAGATATCACTCCCCTGGACTTCTTTCTAAGGGATTATGTTAAAGATATCGTGTATCGAGCAAAGATACGGGACATCATTGATCTAAAACGAACGATCACTGATGCCATTGCCACCATCGATGAGGCTATTTTATAGCGAACATGGCAAGAAATCGAGTACCTTCTTGATGTGCTACATGCATCTAATGTTGCCCATATAGAGATGTAGTAATTAGTTAAAAAAAACTTCATTACCTACTAGTCATTTTGTAATTATTTTCCACATATGCAATGCGATAAGTCCTGCTCTGGTATCGAGTCTACAGTCACTATCCCACAGGTTTGCCGTAGCTTTCCTTTGTCTCTTCTACAAGTATTTTCACGGCAACTGTTCCGAAGAGCTATTTTCGCTGCTTCCCAGACTGTACAAATTTAAGCGAGCTATTAGGCTGGTATCTCGGTCTCAAACTTTTACTGTCGAAATAGTTAAATATAACCGTCTCTTCTACTCAAACAGCTTCTTCTCTCGCACTTCCCGTCTGTGGAACTCCCCTCCTCTTGCTTGCTTCCCTGATGACTATAATCTTCAAATACTCAAGTGTAATGTCAATCGACATCTTCTGATATCTGGATCTTGTTCCCCGTCCTTCTCTGTATCCTTTCCTCAAATACGCCTCTTTACTCTTGCTCTCAATCCTCTGTGGTACTACTGTCTTGCTTGGGGTGAATTATTTAAAAAAAAATAATATTTGTCTCTTCATTTGCTTTTCTAATATTTTTTTAAATTGTGAAATGACTTTATGGGCACCCTGTACCATTAGTCCAACGTTTACATTAACCATCCAATCATTAACAAAGGGTGTTCCAATATCTTGGACCGATTTTAAATGTGAATTATGTTTAAGCGTCTAATGCGTTTTTTTCTTTTTCTTTCAACTTAACAACTTAAGTCTTTGGGAATTTCAACCATGGAAAGGTTAACAATCAAACAACGTATTAAAGTTATCGAAGCCTATTACGAAAATGGACGTTCAAACAGAAATGTAATAAGAAGTTCACGGGTCGCGTCAATTCTCGAAACAGCGAAGTCAATTGGCCCTCACGATCGTGCACCTTGACACCTTTAGATTTCTTTCTTTGGGGTCATATCAAAAGTAAGGTCTATGCCAACAAGCCAACAACAATTCAACTGCTGAAGGATGAGATAATAAGGCTTATTGGTGAGATCGAGAAGCAACTATACAGAGACGTCATCAAAAATTTTGACCATCGAGTGGAGGTGTGTCGCCGAAGCCTTGGCGGGCATTTGGGCGATATTATTTTTCACGCATAATTGCTATGACTTAAATAACATGATCCACAAGAGAAATAAGTAAATTTATACCAATAACACTGATTTATTTATTGCTGACTTTGATCCGTCTTAATGAAACACCCTTTATTATATCTCTGTCCAGTAATTGATATTTTTGTTCAAACGAAAGATACAAATGATAAATATTTATGGCATTTGTTGGATAATATTCGAAGCTAGGTTATAGTGGTGTGAAAGTGACCGAAGGCTGAACTTCAGAGAGACTTGACAATTGCTACCGAGTAGTGAGAACGTATCTCACTGTGGGTTCAAATGTGATAAAACAACAAAAATCGGCATGTCGTTAACTTAACCTAACGTAGCACATCTCTATTTACCAAAAATCGCTTGAATTGAGTGATTTCAAGCCAAAGTCGTCATTTGTAAGATAGTTCGTCTGTGATCGCTCTGTTACTGAGGCCTTTTGCCATACTAAGCTTTGGATGGCTATAAACGACAGCGCTTTGTTCGTTATTGACATTATTTTATGATAACGACTGAATATGACACGAAGGGAAATTGACTCACAAAGAAATGCCAAGATGAGAGATAGATGAGATAGATAAATATAGATTGATAGATAGATAGAAAAAGATAGAGAGATTAAGTGATATATATATATATATATATATATATATATAGATAGATAGATAGATAGATAGATAGATAGATAGACTGAGAGGTAGATAGACTGAGAGGTAGATAGATAGATATAGATTGATAGATAAATAGATAGATAGACTGATAGATTGACAGATAGATAGATATAGATTGATAGACAGATTGAGAGATAGATAAATAGATAGATTGATTGATAGATGAATGGATAGAGATAGATATAAATTGATTAATAGACAGATAGATATAGATTGATTGATAGATAGGTAACTATAGAGATAGATGTAGATAGATAAACATAGATATATTGATAAATAGATAGATATAAATTGATTGATAGATAGATAAATAGATACATAAATAGACCGATACATAAGTAGATTGACAGATAGATATAGATTGATTGATATAGAGATAGATAGATAGATAGATAGATTGAGATATAGATAAACGGGTAGATTGATAGATGAATAGATAGAGATAGATGGGTATAAATTGATTGATAGATTGATAGATTAATAGATATAGATAGATAGATAGATAGGAAGAAAGAAAGAAAGAGAGAGAGAGAGAGAATAAAAAAAAAACATAAAATATTAATTCCAAATTTACTCACATATATTTAAAGTGTGCTAAGTGGAGGCCTGAGTTCGGCCATTATCACAATGTCGTCTTTCCATTCTGAATAGAATTAATAAGGTCTCGTCGTTGCAGAGGAGAAAATAGAGAAACACACGTTAAAAATAGAAACCTTTTCTGAATTATAATAAAAGAAAGCATTCAATGAATTCCCATTAACGTGCGGACAGTTCTTGAAATTACACTGCCCGCACGCACACGCGAGTCCATGCACACATACACATACACACACACACACATATATATATGTATATATGTATGATTAATGGACTCTCCTGTAGTTTTCAACATATGAATGTCAAGCAACTCAGTTCCTAGAAACCAACAATCAGATCACCCTCGCAAATCATTTGATTATAGCGGGGAAGGCTTTATACCGTACCAACCACACTCTAGAGCCTGCCTAGCTAAACCTATCGCTAGGGAGTCCACCCCCAACCCAGCTTCCACCCGAGACAGACAAGTGTCTTCACCTTTTTAGCCTTATCTAGTGCGAGCCTCTGGTTATATTCGGTGGTGAAGGATCTAATCTTATCCTTAAGCCACACCCGCCATAAACCGCAACAACCCAAAACGGACTACTGCTCACGGCAATATCGTCCATGATCAACTGCCCTCCACACTTTATCGACGTGGATAAGATCAACCGTCGCATCCAGGGTATGTTTACTCAGCAAGGAAATAGCACTGAATAGACAACGCAGTCGCTAGACAGCACACGAGCATCAACCTCGCAAGCAAAGTGCGTTTCCTGGATCGCAGCTACATCAATGCCGAAGGACAGGAGAACACGAAGCCGGTGGGCAGCCTTACTCCGATCGTTCAAGCCCCTCGCATTCAAACTAGCTATCTTGAGAGCCATTTTTCAAGTCGATTCCCTACTCACAAACTGGACGGAAAATTACGGATGAAAGGACCCCAACGGATTGTGTCAGACTCACTGCCGTCATGCTACCATTTAAAACAATGCCGCCGTCGTCCGCGGAATAGGTCAGGTTTAAGGCCCTATATAATGAAAGATGGTGGATTACACGCACGATATCTTTGTAGCTTCTTTCAGGTCCGGAGTTCCCATTACCATACGGATCTCTGGAAAGGAATGCATCATGTAGGTGATTCCACACTGTAAAATCTCTGCATGTGTTCCTAATCCAAGTTATTACCCCAGCAGCCTTGGAGAAACTTCAGGGGTCTCATACAGAGCGCTCGCCTATTGACTATGGGTTTTAAGAGCGTTCTCTTTTGTGTTTAAATGTATTTTTTACTGTCCGCCTGTCTATTTGACATGATCTTACCCCTCTCGGGAATTTCTTTTTATGAGAAGAACTTTGGTAAGAGGTGCTGGGAGTTGGGGAATCGCTTGTGGAAAGGGGGTTGTTGGGCGGAGTGGAAATGTCGTCGGCTGCAGTGGTATTGCGATGGGGTGTTTTGAGAGGAGAGGTATTCGGAATGGAGGCAGTGGTGCTTTCAGAGAGGAAGAAGGGAGGCTGCTTGGGGTAATTTTGCTCTTGTTTCTTGACTGGCGAAGCCGGGACGGATTGAGCTTTAGTTTCCACTTATCCTTCTTAGTGTTTTTCTCCTCTTTTTCTTCTTCCACTTCCTCTCACCTTTTCAGTGATGTGGACCGAGGTGGGACCATCTCGTCCATTTCTAACTCTACTGCATTTCGGTGTCACTGCTGGTACTCCTACTCAAGTTAGGGCTTCTCATTCAGCTGCTACTGAAGGGAAGTGGTAGACACTTTTGGTCCCTTCTTTACGATGTCCCCCCACTCTCCAGTTTTCTTTACAGATGTTGTTTTCTGTGTTGTTGCCGATTTTCCCTCACTTTTCTTTTTGGGTTGTGGTTCTAGATTTTTCCTGGGCAAGCCTTCGACAGATGCCCAGCGGCCCCACAAGCCCAACAAAATGGTCGACGGCCCACCACAACAACATAAATAAGTTTTCCTTCACAGATTAATGTGTTCGGTATTTCATGAACTGCTTTGTGTTCAAAGTAATAGCTATTTCAAAATCGCTTGTGGCTATTCCTACCTTACTTTTAATAGGGTAGACGTCTGAGACGTCTCCATATTTCGTAAGAGCTGAGATGATCTTCGGATATGAATAGGAGGACGCTCTCTAGAGACACCTTCACTTTTCTTGTTCTGCATTCGGTTTGTAGCCGGACTATAGTAGTAGTCAAAATACAGCCTACCAACGATTTATTTTTATCTTCTGGGGGACGTGCGTGTTAAGAAGCTGTTGGAGTAGAAGAGACGACTACATTTAACCGTTTCAAGAGTGAGAAGGTGGGACCGAGATACCAACCTAGTAGCACGCTTAAATTCATGCAGTTAGGGAACCAGTGAAAGTAGCTCGACAGACCAGTTGTCATGAAAATACTTGTAGAAAAGACAGAGGGAAGCAACGGCATGTCTGTGAGAGAGTGACTGTAGAAGATATCCCAGATTAGGGCCTATGGAATTGCATATCCGTCTCTGGATTTTATCGAAATGCACAGCGGGGGCACCAGACCATATATGGCAGCAGTATTCAATGTAAGGACGAATGGTTGAATTGTAGAGTTGAAGGATGGAAACAGGCGGGAAAAACTTCTGAAGCGACACAGAGAACCTGTTGAAACTTGATTAATGCATGGAATAATAATGCAACACAAAATGTACTTAGAACAAAATGTATTGAAACAAGAAAGTGTACACAATATTTACATATAGTCTTTTGTATATTCCTGGTAAGACCATTCCGGGAGAATGTGTTGACTGAGTCGCAGTCGGGCAGAGTCTCTGGTTCAATCTCTTCCCGGTACTAACCATATTTATATGGTCGGTACTCGACTATGCAAATTAGGTGGATCCTACCACAACACCCACCATTGCCAAGCCTTGGAATCTCTTTCGGATTTCAAATTGGCTTCCTATATGGGTTGATGTTTATGGCTATTTCTTTGTAGATCCATTTGCATACTATAAATAACGGAAGCACCAGCCCAGATCTGAAAATAATACAGGATGCATGGAAGAAAAGTAAAATTATAAACGTGCAAGACAGACGAGCAGACAGACAGACAGATAGATAGATAGATAGATAGATAGATAGATAGATAGATTTGATAAGAAAGAGATAGATAGATAGATATATAGATAGATAGATAGATAGATAGATTTGAAGAGAATGAGATACATAGATAGATTTGAAGAGAAAGAGATAGTGTTGAAACTTGACTAATGCATGGAATAATAATGCAACACAAAATGTACTTAGAACAAAATGTATTGAAACAAGAAAGTTTACACAATATTTATATATAGTCTTTTGTATATTCCTGGTAAGACCGTTCCTGGAGAATGTGTTAACTGAGTCGCAGTCGGGCAGAGTCTCTGGTTGAATCTTGTGATTCCTCCCCCGTCTTCCCGGTACCAACCATATTTATATGGTCGGTACTCCACTATGCAAATTAGGTGGATCCTACCACAACAGAACCATTTTTTCTTGCATATGTATATGGACGCTTCTATCGTGAACGACAAATGAGGGTTATCAGTTGATGGTACCTTTCGTTTTACACTTATAAATGTTAGGGGCTATTGTGGAAAAAATCATTTAAGGGAAAGAATATTTCATTTTTGCATTCTTAAGTGCGATACTAGCCCAGCCTTGCTGCGTGCGACAAGCCATATGAAATTTGTTGAAGCAGGATTCTGATGGCGTCTCTGCTTCAGAGCTTGATGAAGATGATCACGGTGCTTCAGTCTACTATCTTCAAAAACCTTTAACTTAATGAAACATGTCTTACGCCACTCCTTTCGGTGTGATGTATGGACTTTCAAGGTTTTCAGAACAAAGCTGAGACGTTTCAAGTTGTCATTTAATTTGTCTTTATAGTGTAACAGTGGACATCCAACTGAACGATTGAAGTTTGAAAGTTGTCTATAAAGTAATATATATATATATATATATATATATATATATATATATATATATATATAGTTCAAAACAAGCAAAAACAGAACATTACGTGAGGAGGAATATAGCAACATTCGAAAGTACTCGGGAAGAAAATAATATAAAATCAAAATAAATATTAACTATGTCAAATTTATCGATGATGACCAACTTGTAAATTTGAAAAAATTAATAAAAAATTGATAGACAGAACTTGTCGATATATTTAATCAAACATTTTTGAAAGAATCATATATATATATGTATGTGTGTGTGTGTGTATTACATATATATTCAAATAACAAAGAAAATACTGTAAAAAAATAATATAATATATATATATATATATATATATATATATATATATTTATATATGAATAAATATAATCTTAAGGTGTGCTATATTTATGGGATAAAGTGCTCAATATCATAGATAGAGCGTGTGTAAATATAAAAGTGAACATTGAAGTCAACACTTAGAAGCGACAGGCTGTTTCATGTTAGACGCAATCGTCAGGCCATATATATATATATATATATATATATATATATATAGTACAGGTAATAAATCCGTTGGTATATAATCCAAGTATATCATAGTATTAGCAAATATTAAATGAGTTCAATGTATTTATTATAACAGAGCATATAAATTACACAAAATCCCAAATTACATCATATTGGGGTGATCTATTTCGTAATTATAATAATAATGATATATGTGTGTATGTTTTTTGTTTATAAGCTATTCCACTTTCTCTCTATATATAATGATTGATATATATATATATATATATATATATATATATATATATATATATATATATATATATATATATATATATATATATATTTGTGTGTGCGTGTGTTCGTGTGCATGTGTGTAGCGATCGGAGATACTTTTTCATCAGCGTGGAACTCAACGGATACATTGGCACATCGTCAAGAATAATAAACTATTTTTTCTCCTAGTTTAATTTCTGAATACTGTTAAATTTGTTGCTCGTTTAACTTTAGAATTTGACATTTGAAATTTTTAATTATTAATTTTAAATTTAACTGTCAGCGTAAAATTAAATTTTTATATTGATTTTTAATTTAATCTAATTTTAACTTTAATACACTAATAGGTTTTTACGTATACTCGAGTGTGTTGTCATTTTAAATTATCATATACTTGTATTCTGATTGGTCATCATAGGTTACGTAACAAAGTTTCTCCTACCGAGGGGGTTTGTTTGACTTTTGAATTCTTAAAATCATTTATTTTCAGTTCAACATCATCACTTGACAAGACACCTGAAGTGTCGAAACAAAATTGACAATTTTATAGTGATTTTATAAAATGCATTTGTTATAAATTTGAATATATATATATATATATACTATTTTTTTGTTTAAAAATATGATTCCTTCGCTACATAAGAGTACTCATGTTTCAAAAACTAGAGCCGAAATCATCCAAATAATTATTAAAATTAAGTTGAATTGAGGTGTTTAGTCTCGTTTCATCTTCAAGCGAAATTTTAAGAATAAGCTATCTTTTGGTTTACGTGTGTTTTTAGGCATGGTCCGTCATAACATTCGTTTTTGTGGGGGTGGTTGTTAGATATTTTGACGGTCATTTCGAGTATAGAATTCAGAGGTTAGCAGTGAATATTTCGGAGCAAAGTAGGAAAGCGTAGTTCTTCCTTCTGTCACCTTCGCCGGACTAGTTGGCATTGGTCATTCGGGTAGGGTAAACAAAAATGGCCGCCTTTATACACGACGGATAGAACATTCTGCGGCTTCTGATTGGTTAACCTTCTATTGGTAGACTATAAAGGGAGTTAAGTCATTTTGACTGACTCACTAGTTACATAACATATACACAAAAATGCTAGTTTTCTTCGTTAAGTGATCAGAGAGTTAATTCTTATCTATATATTCATCATCTTCTGAGAGGTTTTGCTAAGGTTGGGTAGGGTATCTACTTCAAGGTTAATGTTGGCGGTCATCCTTTAGTTGGTTCCCAGTGCGGGATATTTTCATGGCGCGCGTAAAAGTCGTTATGTGTCGGGATGATTTTGTTTTATTATTGTCTATCTGATTATCTATTTATTTATTTGTTTATTCAAGTGGGTGTTTTATATACAAACCGTATTGCACTGAATTTCAATTTATTTTTTTGTTTTATGACGACTACTTTTTCCTATTTAATGATTTGGCTAAGCTTTTAAGACTTTTATCAAGCTATGGATTTTTTTTGGCTAATTATTTAATGCGGAAGTTTGTTGATGTCGGCAAAAAACCGTTAACTTCTGCCTATGGTTTAATAATTTTTCATTATTTAGAAATTTAATGATGTGCAGTTTTTCGAGTAGGTATAAAGGGCATGGGTCATCCCAGGTTTTACAAGTTCTTGTTATATTTACTATTTTCCATTTTACTTTTGGTGTTTTATTCGTTTCTTTTAGATGCCAGAAATATTGTGATAGAGATGTCTGATTTCTATTTTGATTATTGTTGAAGGAGCTCTTGTGTTGCCTCCATCTAATTTCAAAATTATTCTTTGTTCAGCCTATGTATATCCTATCAGTGTTAGGACTCTCAATGGATGAGATAGTGCATTGGTATACCACGGATTTTGTGAGGCATTTATTTTCCAACGGGCAGGTTTTAGGGTTTCTACAATTACATAATTTTTCGTTATTTTCATCTAATTTTAGTTTATGAGTTTTATTACTGTTCTGGCATGCGTGTTTTTCAAGGATTTTCTTATTATATCGTTTTATGATTCTTTCTAGATTTTCAGTGCAGCTGTAACTCAACTTTAAGGTGTTTTTGTTAAAGATCTTGCTAAGTTTGCTATTAATGGGAAAGTGCTTTTCAATTAAAGCTAGGAACTTATGGCCTAGTTTGGTGCTGACCATTCGGTTGTACGGGTGGGTATACCAGATGATCTTTCTTTTCCTGTTTTTCCTATTATTGGTATTATCGTTTCTATAGGTTATGCAGCGTTTTTGTATCCGCTGTTTTTCAGGGCTGTGTTATAAAAACTACTGTGTTGTCGGAATATTTCCTTATTTTCTGAGTTCATACTAATTCTTTTCTCTATTGATGACCCTTAATTATATATACTAAGGAACTCCGGATAATGCACCCAACGTATCCTTTTCTATTTTCTGCATACCTGCGCATATATATATATATATATATATATATATATATATATATATATATATATATATATAGTTTATGAAAAACTAGGTAATCCATATGGGTAAACTAAGGAGGATAAAATCCAGAAGCTTAATGTAAATTGAGAGCAAATAATTTAAATAAAAACAGACCACTTTAACATGGAACCTTAAAGTGGTCTGTTTTTATTTAAAAAATATATATATATATATATATATATATATATATATATATATGAACTGAGTGATCGGATTAGAGAAAGTGAAGTTCTGACTAAATTAAACGTGGCGGGTATTGAAATCATCTTAATGAAAATCCAATTCAGGTGGGCAAAGCATCTTTTTCTTATGAGCGATAGAAGAGTTGCAAGATAACTCCTCTTTGGCCAGCTTCTAACAAAAAGGTCAGTTGGAAGGCCACTTCTGTGTTCGAAAGACAAACAATCTGAAAACAAAAGCTCAGGTTGAAGGCGCTGGCGACTGTCCTGCATCTCGTCAATACAAAGGTTTCATCAAAACGGACGTGAATTGGGTGCAAGTGTTAAAACACGCTGACAGCACCTTGCTCCTCTCAAGGACAGTCTTACCTGCCATTGAAGATTTGTCGCATGTAGCTAAGTATGATCATACTGTACAATCGCAGAAACATGTGGTAATTGATCCTCTAAACACTCGAGGGAAATGGTTCTACCAAATATTCCATTAGCCTAAAATTCTGCGATACACCTTCACAACTTTTATATTTACACATACGCACACACACACACATATGATTGCGTTTTAGCTGAAACAGTCTGTCGGCTCTGAGTGTTGACTTCAATGTTAATTAATAAATAAATAAATCGAAGACTTCAGAAAGGCATGGTAATATTTTATTTCGCAAAATCGATAATTCGATTTCGCTTCGTCAGACCTGGCGGCTTCAATACAATGAATGGAATCAAAAATCCTTCCAGGAATCAACCAAAAACGAATAACAAAATTATATTCCGTTGATTCCTGGAAGAATTTTTAACCCATTGACTGTTTTGAAACCGCCAGGTCTTTTGAAGCGAAATCGAATTTATTTTGCGAAATAAAATATTACCATAACTTTCTGA